ATGTGGCACCCATTTTCCTTTCTTTAAAATCTTTCCTATTGCTTGTAAATGATCGCAAATTGTTTCCTGAACAACGTTTAATCTTTCTGCAAGTTGTTTTTGAGTTTGACAAGCACCTTCATTCAATAATGCTTGTAATTGTTGGTCTTCAAATTTTTTCGGTTGACCTGGGCGTTCTTTGTCTTTCACATCGAAATCATCACTTTTAAAGCATTAACCAGTGTTCACAACTATCTTGAGATGGAGCATGTTCACCATAAGCTTCCCAAAGTATACAATAACATCCAGCAGCTCTTTTCTTCAAAATAATGAATTCAAACTTCTCGCAAATGCTCTTTTTTTGGCACAAAATTCGACATGTTTAAACGTAAAAAATCTCTATGATGTTAACACCTTCAGCAAATTTGACATGAAGTTTTGAAGCTTGTTGTCAATACAACAAAATAGCATACATATCAAATCGCATATATATCAACCTATGTGTAACTCCATCTATTGAAAAAAATCCGCATTAACCGGTACACCTGGTATATATATATTAAAATGTTATCAGGATGCAGAATTCCAAATACAGGGCTTCTAATAAGACTTTTAAGCATTTTGTTAAATTGGCATTTGTTAAGAAAAGCCCACTGGTACTGGACGGTGCCTAGCAATCACACAAAGACCACCGGTAAATCTGGGGGGGGAAAAAGTATAGAATTGACAAGGCTGGAGAAAGTACACAGCATGCCTGCAGGGGCGAACACAGGCAGGACAAGACAGGATGCAAGAAGAGAGTGGCAGTACACAGAGTGTAGGTCTGATTTAGGATCACTAAGTGGAGTGCCTTGGGGTTCTCGAGCTAGGTCCAGATTGTTCAGCTTAAACAAAATCAGCAAAGTTTGGCTAGGTCTTCAGAAATCTTACATAAGGGGCATACAAAATGAAGACCCTGCAGTGCAAAACAAACAAACAAACAAACAAAGAAACAAACAGACTATTGTTCACAAGGACTGCTGGAGATGCCATATAAAAAACTTACATTCACTTGGAACACTGTAAGCTGGTGTCTGTGTGCACTAGGGTTTCATGGGAGTTCAGTACAAAACTTTTTAGCTACACAAAATAAATGCCAATACTGAAACATCATACACTTTTTACTTAAACTTTCAAAAATACTCCTAGATATGTTTTTGTAACCATCATAATGTCCCCAGCATGTATGATAAAAGGAAGGAAATATATAAATTATGGGTAAACTCTTTACACATTTATATTTGGCCTTGCAGTCGATGTTGATGGTTGACCTGGATCAACCCATGATTTTGTGCATTTGGGATTCTCAAAATAAATCTTTTTTTCATCACCAGTCACAATTCGATGCAAAAAAGACTTTCTTTCGTGCTGTTGAAGCAACATTTTACTGATGACTTTTCGGTCCATTTGTC